AAGAGGCATCCACGAATTGATATTCCATCAAATGATCCACGAAGTGCATTCAGATTCGCTAATTCGAAGTCGCTCATGGAAATTTGGGGATTTAGTGTTAATTGAAAATCTTCGGCAAGGAGCCGTAGTTGTCGGTAAATTTCTCTGTAAGTTTCTTCATCTTTTTACTGTGTAAGACAGAATACAACAGGGAGAACAAAGTTCATGAAAATGGCATGAACAGTAAATAATTGCGCAAATTGATTCGGAGTTGTTTTGAAGGTGCCATCGGTGAAAATGGTTGGACTGTTACACAACATATTAAGGTTCCTTTCAGTGGAAAAAATAAGTATCCGTCGAGGCTGGTTCCTACCAGAATCATGAAGCAAGAATGGTCCCCCTCCGAGAGTTCGTGTGTAGGAGTTTTCCACACGAATTTCTTGCAAAGTTGCAGGTACAGGAGGCCGATGTGTATTCTGGACCCGATTAAGTGTTCTCCGCAAAGTATTTCTTTCTGGCAACGTCATCAAAACCTCTTCATTATTTACCTTTCCAGCTTCACTACGCACTATGTTTAAGGGAGGCTCAGTTGGGTTTTCTGCTGCTCGTTTTTTCATGCGATCTACTACTTTCCTTCTTGCAATTTCAACGTGATCTGGAGGATGCAAATGATTAGTGCGACCATTTTTATAAACTACTAGTTCTTCCCTCTCACCTGGTGTATTTGTGACGCAGCGCGCGTTACAACTATCTTTCAAGTGACACCGCCAGTACGTTCGGGTTCCTGATTTATTTTTTGAGTGGACGGTATAAATAAAGCCATCCAAAACCAGCGCTTTCTTTTTCTTGGACGTGTTGATCAGTTCGCTGGGCATTTCAGAAAATTTAATTTTAAATTATAATTTTATTTAAAAAAATTTTAAGCTTCTAAAAAAGTCGCGAAAATTTTGAAGTAAAAATTGGATTTCAAATGTAGACTTTAATTAAAAATTTTGGAGTTTGTCTTTGACTCATTTCTTACAGGTTATAATATTTTCTCGTCCTCAGCTTTCAAATTTTGCAATTGAAAAGTTTCCTTAGCAACGTCCGACAAGTCAGCTGTTACACGAGGAATATATATTATGAATAATATTGTGGCTTACATAGAACGTGGATTAAAAAAGGGTGGGTTAAATTTTTAATTGGATAATAAAATTTGGCCAAACTATACCTTGGATAAAATTTGTTGGCCCAATTAGGTATTGGGTAAAAGAAATTGGGTAAAGTGTCTAGCCACGCGGCAACGAACTCGCAACCATCCTTGCCGGGCGGGTAGTGCGGTCGCGTAGGGTAAAAATATTTACAATTAGGCTTACCAGCATGAAATTTGGTGAAAATGTAGTTCAAGGTACCTAGAACCGAAATCCATCGGTACACAAGCGGTATCTATCATGTGTCCCCGTATTTTTGCCGCCATTTTCCAAAATGGCCGCCATACGCTGATTTCCATTACTTCTCATTTTTCAGGCGTTCTAATACCTACCTATTAACATGAAATTTGGCAGGAATATACTTAAGGGTGTCTAGAATGAGAAACAATTGACATTTAAGTCCAGTCGGCCATTTACCCTCGCTACGTAACAATATTGAGATATCACCCGGAGCATAACAAAAAAGGAAGTTTCGACATTATCCAGGAGGACTGATTAATGCCGATGTCACCCGGGTAGTGACGAAGACGGCATTACCAGGCTGTATTACATTAGGGGTGTTCAGGTAAACGAATTCTTGCCAGAACACTATCGGTATCGTCTCTTACCGAAACTGTCGGCAGTACTGACAGTGGCGGATGATATCGTTGACAGCCGGCCTTATCAGAGTTTTGAGAGTTCGCACTCAATGCATTGTTGCCCCGTGTGTCGGTTCGTCAAATTGCCTGACGCGGCGCGTAACATTGGTAGTTGTACAAATGGCAACAGCTTATTTTCGTTAGCTCTGAAAACTGAGATCGCTATCGGTAAGAGCGCTCTTATCGTAACTTTTTCTTGCCGGAACTGTTTTGGTAGCTTACCGACAACCGATAGCACAGCCCCATATTACATTACTCGTTACAGATACATTGAAGCGCTATATTGTTACTAGGGGGCCCTGCCCCCTGACCGCTACGCGGGCCCTGTACGCATAGGTATGGGCAAAAATGTTCTTCCATTTTAATACACCATTTTGTGTTTGAGCTGCATCGATTTCAAAATTTTTAACACAACTCTCAGATTTGTAAATTATGAGGAATAGTTGGATGTACATAATTTGGTATTAATGGAGGCAGTATATTGACGGTTAAACTCGGGAGACATGTATCTCAATTTGCGATGTCGTATACTTCTCGTCAAACTTTTTTTTTTTTTTTTTTTTTTATCGGAAAACTAATCAACGTACTAAATTTTTTGAAAACGACTGTGATTTCACTTCTGCTCGGAGAATATTCTGTGAAAATTTAAAGCGATGAAATTGGCTCATTTCCCTTCGAAATCTTAAATTAGATGCGGAAATCTTGAAACACCGTGAGCAAGATACGTGGTTTTCGACTTTAGCCATCGGTATGAAAACAAAGCTCTTTTACCATGCAACATATCGCTAAGATTGTGGAATCTGGCACATATTTTTCGGCAAATCCAGTCCTCATGCATTTTTATATTTTGACAGAAAATGTGCGCTGAACTTTCAAATAATGTATTTTTTGGCATGGAGTTAGTTGAGCTGAAAACTACTCTCAGCTCAATTTTTTGGAAAGTGCGACTCGATGCGTTTTTGTAAATACAGTACACTTACTGAAGAAATTTCCATTTATTATGTTATTTTTAAATACTTAATTTAAAAGAAAATCGGATTACGACCGTTGAGAGTTAATAATATTTGGTCCGTCCCGACGCGACGCAGCGCCTGCCTTCTCACTTTGTATCTCCTGTAAATATGAATAGAAATTCAGCAGTCAAGTATATTGGCCAATGCTCTAATCGAAGCCGGAAGAATGAATGAGGAAAAATTGAATAAAAACCTTATACCTTCGACCTTGAACCTTGAACCCTGAGCGATGCACCGTTCCTCAACTCTCGGAATGAGGAGCCCTGCTACACTAGCTTTTCCATTGTTCTATTATTTATTCGACTCACTCAGGTAGAATCCCACACATCGACGTTTCTAGCGGAAACGACATATCTCTCACATTATTAACATTCAACATAAGTGACATGAGCTTTAAAAGCTCTACAACATTGAAGGTTCGGGGTTTCATAATTTTTTGCATATCTAAAGCTATTACAGATGACATACATGTAAAGATCATCCTTATCGGTCCGGTAGATCGTCAGAAATAGTGCCTCCAAGATTTCGCTTGTATAATATACGAGGGTCATCCAAAAAGTAAGGTTCCCTACCTTGTATCTTCCGAACAAAAAGAGATAAATCAAATCGGTAAAAACGTACATATTAGGCATACTCTAAGCTTTAAAACAAACTCAAGTTTTTGAAAATCGGTTGAGGACTTCGCGAGAAAACTCAATTTTACTGAGACGACCTCCCGTCGTCGCGTGCCCACCTCCGAGGTCAGAATGCGCGGAGAGTCCCTTACTTCAGACTCAGCTTATCGTCTCTAAACATCAAATCGAAAAGGAATTTAAAAGATTTTATCAAGTAGGCCTTACCTTACTTTTTGAGATAGCCTCCGCATCTTTTTGGACATTTCTGGTATCATTACAGCAGCTCTTTCATGCCTTCCGCGTAAAAGGTCTCGTCTTGGCTCCAAAACCAGTCATTGCCAGCGATCTGCACCTCTAAATCGGTTGGAAATCGCTTTCCACATTGGGAGTTTTTCATCTCAGGAATAGACGAAAGTCACCTGAGGCTAAATTAAGAGAGTACGGAGGATTGAGGAAAAATTTTACCACGGTAAACAACTGATTTGGATGTGCAGATCGCTGGAAATGACTATGGTTTTGGAGCCAAGACGAGACCTTTTACGCGGAAGGCATGAAAGAGCTGCTGTAATGATACCAGAAATGTCCAAAAAGATGCGGAGACTATCTCAAAAAGTAAGGTATAAGGCCTACTTGATAAAATCTTTTAAATTCCTTTTCGATTTGATGTTTAGAGGCGATAAGCCGAGTCTGAAGTGAAGGACTCTCCGCGCATTCTGACCTCGGAGGTGGGCACGCGACGACGGGAGGTCGTCTCAGTAAAATTGAGTTTTCTCGCAAAGTCCTCAACCGTTTTTCAAAAACTTGAGTTTGTTTTAAAGCTTAGAGTATGCCTAATATGTACGTTTTTACCGATTTGATTTATCTCTTTTTGTTCGGAAGATACAAGGTAGGGAACCTTACTTTTTGGATGACCCTCGTATAATAGAGTAAGATATACAGAATATAGAAAGATATATAGAAATAATATAGAAAGATAGTCCATTAGGCTATCCGTCATGGAAGTTTTGCCGAGATTTATTAATCAAATATTATAATGAAAATATGAATCTCATTAACGTCGTGGCTACAAAAAAGATTCGCGAAGCGGCCCCTTGATGACGCGGAGAGCCTTCAGGGGGTTGGACAGCGTAGCGGCTAGGTGGTGCAGTCCCTTAGTAACGAGTATTTTGCAATTTATTTTTTGTTCAGCATCAGTATGAAAGAGTTTTAGAATTTAGCAGAATTTTGCGAAATTGTCACATTTTTTACCTTAAGATGAGAGGAAACCTTATGCTTCGTTGAGAGTTGATTCGGAGTTTTGGTTCAAAGGTCATCAGCCCGCGGATGTATGAACCTCAACAGTCAACACCCGCGTTGATGCCCCTAGACTGATAACCTCTAGTTTGAACGTGTGGAACGCGCTGACAGGTCTGACATTCGATATCAGCATCCACCAACTTGTGTCAGTATTGATGAAAATATTTTATGTTGCACTCGTAGAATGTTGATGAATTCAATCATCTTTTTTCTACAATGGATGTTCATTTAAATTAGACGTGTTATCCTTATTACCTTGCTTTTAAACAGATTGGAGTGTCAGTCGAAATCGTTCATCAGTTCCAATTTTCTTCATCCCTTCAGCGGATGAGTGTCATCACAAAAGTTTCAGGATCTCCAGATTACGTCATTTTCTGCAAAGGTTCGCCTGAAATAATTCAATCCCTGTCTAGACCAGAGACAAGTAAGTATAAAACATTAAGTAAGAGCTTTTTAAGGTTTAAGAGGTTTTAGATTCATTGCAAAAAAACATTCAATGTAATATTGTTCTTATTTCAAAGAGGTTGTTCCATCCCCCATTAGATTTGGCCCCCTATCAGATATGATCCATCTTTTCAGGAGTGATACAGTAGAATGCGAGACGTTCAAATATGGCGGTCATTTTGACTTAGGCCCCCCCAGAGAGGGGGGGCGGGGGGTCAAAGTCAAAACCTTCAACTGCCTATAACTTTTGAGCGAAAAATCGGATTGAGTTGAACTTTTTTTTAAATGAAAGATCTCAAAAAGATCTATCTGCTGATACCAGAAAAATTGAAAAAAAGTTAAATTTAATGCAAATTTTTAGCAATTTTTCAATTTTTTCGGGGACAAAATTTTCAATTTTGTCGTGTTTCGGCACCGCGCAATGACTCTACTAAAACAAAAACCAGTTTTTTAGATTCTACACTTAATTTCCTACAAGATGCAAAAAACCGCATCTTGGGGAAACGTTTAGATCGCGAGCTATGGCTCGTCAAAGTTAGCCCCGCGCTGAGCGCGCGCGCCCTGCGCTGTTCGCATATCCTCTGCGCGTCTGCCACCGATCCTGTTGCCCCTCCTCCCCCTTCCTAAATGCAAATTAACATTCTACTACCCAGCTTTCGTATATATCTGCGTTATAGGTACGTGAAAATTTCAGCAAGTTCGTGATTTCCAGTGGAATTGATGCTTTATTTCGCTCCCCCCCCCCACCCCGGCCACTGTGCTCCAAATATTGTGCAAAAAAGAAATATATAAATTTTCTTGTTTCATGTTTTTGCTGATGTAGCACCCTGTGACTACGAGATCGAATTGAGGTAATTTTTTATCCCACCTCCCAACCACTTTTCGGTGTATTGAGCGTTTACCATTCATGAGAGGCCGACATTATTATGGGTATTCATAATAGGCTGCTGAGGAATTAAAAAATATTTCGCACGATTTTTCTCCACATAGCTTTGAGAAATATAAAATGATTTCGTTGTTGGCAGGGGCACACTTCAGTGCCAGTGGCCGGGTTGGGGGGGGGGGGGGAAATAAAGCATCAATTCCACTGGAAATCACGAACTTGCTGAAATTTTCACGTACCTATAACGCAGATATATACGAAAGCTGGGTAGTAGAATGTTAATTTGCATTTAGGAAGGGGGAGGAGGGGCAACAGGATCGGTGGCAGACGCGCAGAGGATATGCGAACAGCGCAGGGCGCGCGCGCTCAGCGCGGGGCTAACTTTGACGAGCCATAGCTCGCGATCTAAACGTTTCCCCAAGATGCGGTTTTTTGCATCTTGTAGGAAATTAAGTGTAGAATCTAAAAAACTGGTTTTTGTTTTAGTAGAGTCATTGCGCGGTGCCGAAACACGACAAAATTGAAAATTTTGTCCCCTAAAAAATTGAAAAATTGCTAAAAATTTGCATTAAATTTAACTTTTTTTCAATTTTTCTGGTATCAGCAGATAGATCTTTTTGAGATCTTTCATTTAAAAAAAAGTTCAACTCAATCCGATTTTTCGCTCAAAAGTTATAGGCAGTTGAAGGTTTTGACTTTGACCCCCCGCCCCCCCTCTCTGGGGGGGCCTAAGTCAAAATGACCGCCATATTTGAACGTCTCGCATGCTACTGTATCACTCCTGAAAAGATGGATCATATCTGATAGGGGGCCAAATCTAATGGGGGATGGAACAACCTCTTTAAACCATTCTCGGTTTTTTTTTAGTTCGCTTAAAGTTCAACTTATCACTCGAACAGTCTTTTTTAGGTTAGTAATTGGAGAGGGTGATTCTCGTCTCCAGAATGAAAACATCACGTTAAAGGAGGCTGTCTCGTCAGTAAGTAGGTATCAGAAAACATAGGAGATTTCAGTATAGCCCTTGTCCCACGATCAGATGAACTTATCAAATAGTCATCAAATACAAGATGGCGACTGGTTTTCGCGCAAGTCTGCTATCAAAAGTTAGCGGGCCGTCAAATGTTGATGATCCCGCCATTTTGCATTTGATGAATTCTTTTGATCGTGGGACACGGGCTTACGGAATCAGATGAAACAAGTTTATTGAGTAGGACTACCTCTGTACTGAAATATAACCTCCAGGTGATGGACGCTTCCTCTCTTCTAGACATAATCTCAAAAATTGATGCTTAATCTACATAAAAGGGTAGATTAATGGGTACAAAGGAAGACGGTCCATCCTTATGAGAAAAGTGGGCCCGGTTAAATCGGCTGGTATTTTGATATGTTGCAGGTAATCACCTACTGATCAAAAGCGTCAATGAGCGTTTCTTCCTATCTAGAAGTTTTACTCCCCATTTTGGGGGTCAAAGTTCCCAATTCAGCGTATAATTGCTAGTTTTGACACCTGGGCTCAATGGTCGCATTTAAGATTCTCCGTTGGTTTGTTCACTCTATTGTATCTCCTGAATAGACTAAAGATCATCCGAATAAAAAGATTGAACCATGCTGGCTGATGGGGAAGGGAGGTAGGGAGATGCTGACGCCACCGATTTCAGCGTCAGCGAGTCGCATTAATTTCGCCATGTTTTGTAGAATTTCTCATGCGAATGATTCCGACTGCACCTTGGAAGGCCGACGCAGATGCAACTAAGAATATACCCCTAGGGGGAGAGGGGGGTGGTAGAGATCGGGTGGAGGAAAGGGACAACCGTGGATCTTCTTCCACGATTTGACTCACTGAAATAGCAAAAGTTCGGCTTCACTTCTTACGAAGATTATCGGCGGCATAGCGGTCTAAAAACCGTTCACCGACTGTTAAGTTCGAGTTTCGAATCACTATGAGTCCTTTTGTGTTTTTGGCGCGTTTACGCAGTATACCGCCTTTGCGATCGTTTCGACCCCCCACTCGATACAATAACAGAGTCCCTTAGTTTCTTACCGGAAAGTGACTGCCGCGAACTTCTGAGATTTTCCAAAGCGTGTAAAAAGTTTACTAATCCGTCAATAATTATGATTTAAATTTTTTTCTCATTCTGGGGCTTTCTATTCTATGTTCAATGAAGACCAAGAGTCTGTGTTACTTGTTTTTCTGAAAAAAAACCTAAGACTGCTCCGTGCTAATTTAAAATATGCATATATAAGCAAAACCAAACGAACTGATTCGAGGATGGCTGAGCAGTTCAGCAATCTTCGAATGAGAATTTCACTCCTCCCTTTTTTTCTTAAAACGTTGCTTTCACAGATTTCTACACCCCTGTTATGCTTTTCAAAAGTTGGTACCACTGCTGCGATAGCCAGGGCAGCCGTAAGTGTAATCTGTGCTGAGCCTCGAGACTCATTAGACCATTTGCTAAACGTGGCTCATACAGGAAGCTACTTGCACATATACAGGGTGTCCCAAAAGTCCGTACCCCCCCTCGTAACTTTTCAACGGTTAGAGATAAAAAAAAACGAAACTTTGGGAATGTTTCTATCTTAAAGGGGACCACCTTTTAGAGGGGTCAAAATTGTTGTCCCTCCCTCAGGGGGACAGGGGCCCCCCAACTTTTTTTTCAAATGGTAACCCCTATCTTGTGATACATCATTAGAAAGAACATAAAAAACTAAGAATTTTGGCGCAAGCCGCAGATCAACATTTCAATTTTTAACCAAGTTATGATAGGTCAAAGGTCAAATTTGACCTATTTTCAAAAAATCATAACTCCGGTTCAAATTATCGAAAAGAAAAAATTAAAACGGGAAAATTCTCCAAATTGTAAGCACTTTTAAGTAAAAATCACAGAAATTACTTCAAACTAATTTTAAGGGGGGGGGCGGTCGGACCAACAAATACGTCAGTTTAAAGGTCATAAGATTTTCCCGCAATTTGAGCCTATTTCCCTTGACTGTGCCTCAACATTATCTTGCTAAGTTTAAAATTAGTTCAACATTGCGTTTTCAAGTCCCCAAATTTTGGGCAAAGTTCAAAAAACTAAATTTAAGGCGATTCAATTCAGCCGTTTAAATTTCGTTTTTTTTTTAAACTTTGCCCGAAATTTTGGGACTTGAATCGGTAATGTCAAACTAATTTTGAACTTACCAAGATAATGCTGAGGCAATTAATGTTAAGGAAAATTGGCTCAAATCGCGGGAAAATCGTATGACCTTTAAACTGACGTATTTGGGGGTCCGAACCCCCCTTAAAATTAGTTTGAAGTAATTTCTGTGATTTTTACTCAAAAGTGCCTACAATTTGGAGAATTTTCCCATTTTATTTCCTTCCTTACGATAATTCGAGCCGGAGTTATGATTTTTTGCAAATAGGTCAAATTTAACCTTTGACCTATCATAACTCGGTCAAAAATTAAGATGTTGGTCTGCGGTTTGCTCCAAAATTCTTAGTTTTTTAGGTTCTTTCTAATGACGTATCACAAGATAGGTGTTACATTTGAAAAAAAAAGTTGGGGGCCCCGAACCCGTCCCCCCTGAAGGAGGGACAAAAATTTTGACCCCTCCAAAAGATGGTTCTCTTCAAGATAGAAACATTCCCAAAATTTTGTTTTTGTATCTTTAACCGTTCAAAAGTTACGAGGGGGTACGGACTTTAGGGACACCCTGTAGAAGTCTACTTACCCCCTCTATTGCCGGCTACGTACGACTTGCGTCCCGCGGTCCGAATACGATTGAAAAAATGTACGATTTGCGTCCCCGGAAGCGGACCTGGCGTGTACGACTTGCGTCCCGTCCGTTTTGACAAATATCTTAATTTCAACTAAACGGCAACGGCACACGCAACTTCTTCCTTTCTTTTCCCCCCTATCAGATGAATCAGCCTAGATGTCCGCGGAGTCCAGCAGCAGGTAGATATCAGCCGAAATAACACAGCGATTAATAATCGCCATCACTTATCGCAGCAGTGATTTGTTTGCGATGCCTGCGAATGCAAGTGCTAGTAAAACAATGTTAGCTCTAAGGGCAAGGATTTAATTATTTGTGATGGATTTAAGTTTCGTTTT